TGAACTTCAGTGCCAACGTGCTGACCTTTAGGGAAAACTTGATTTATGACACTTTGGGCTTTCCATACAAAGCTGATTTTTGTCTCATTTTTCCCTCCATACATCTTCTCACAGCTGCTTTGTTTCTAAGAACTAAAAACTTTTCCACACTGAGTTGACCACGTTACCTCCAATCATGAATTCATCAGTCAGGTTCTGCTGAGAGACTTTGTGACTCCTGCAGAGAGACGAGACGCACCGAGGACCCCAAAGGTGGGCCGGACCAGGACCACAGGCCAAATCCAGGATAAAGAGGTTGGGTGAAAGTGGTTCTGAAGGTGTGGAGGTGGACTGGTGAGTCCGAGGAGACCCTGTAGAAGGACAGACTGCCGGCGGGACAGTCGACAAACACGCCTACTCTGTGGCCTGAGGAGGAGGAGGAGGAGGAGGAGGAGGAAAGGACGGATGTTCCTTTCTTATCGTGCCAGACTGAGTAGACGCTGCCGTCGTAGAACAGAGTCCAGGACTGCCGGTTCCCACCGAACCACCCGTCGTTTCCCTCGCCTCCACCGGCGACGCCTCGGTAGCTGACGGAAATGTGAACTCCTCCCTCAAGCTTCGCCTCCCAGTAACAGCGACCCGTCAGACCCTCAGAACACAACAGCTGCTGGTTCCTGAGGAACCGGTCAGGGTGGTCCGGGTACAACTGATCCTGCTCCACGTACCAAACCTTCGTGTGGTCGTCGGACACCTTCACCTGCCCGTTCACGGTGTTCGTATCGATGCTGAGTTTGCAGAAATCTGAGGCGGAAAACACAAAATTTATTTTATTATTTTGATTCTAATAAAATGAGTTTCTGTGAATGAAAATCAGACTCACATTTCTTCAGACCCGGTTYTAACCACTGGATCCCGGTGGGCTCCGTCCTGTGAGAAGAGTTGGAAAAGAGCATTTTGTTCTTTGTTGCATCAAACAGGTACGACGGCACGTTACGGCCACTCTGCAGATGGAAATAAAGGGGGAGGAGCCAATTGCCGCCAAAAATCTCTAAAATTTTGAGACTAATTTCAGATTTACCACTTTACTACATTAGACACTTTCCTGATTTGTTTTTTCTTTCAAAAATTTCTGAAACTGATCTCAGAAATTTGAGGGGCTTTTTCTCGCAAATTTACGACTTTTGGAGCTCAGAATTTTTTTTTCAYGAAAATTTCTGAAATCTCAATTTTTTTTAGTTTTTTTGGTGGAGATTTTCTCCTTTTTTCCATCTGCAAAGTGGTTCTAATTGGCCATCGTAGACAGCAGTCCTGACTGGATCAGGTCTCTTCGTACCTCAGAACCTCCAGTTTGGATCGTGGATCCTGGAGCTGAGCGGACAGAAGCTTCAGTCCAGAGTCTCCTGGATGGTTGTAGCTCAGGTCCAGTTCTCTCAGGCGGGACGGACCGGACCTCAGAGCTTCAGCCAGAGAAGCACAACCTTCTTCAGTGAGGAGACATCCTGACAGGCTGCAGACACACAACAACTCGACATCTGAGAACAGTCCGGCACGCTAACAAGCAWGAAGTCATGGTTTGTTTTTTATATCTGAAAAGATTCTGACGTCATCGAGGCTGGAAAACTGTAAAAATCAGTTATTCAGAACTCCATCAGTGAAGCTGAATCATCTGGTTGAGACTAGAAGCAGGGGCACCATGCCCCCCACTAAAAATTTGATGCCCCCCTTAAAATTTTTGCCCTCATTAAAAATGTGTTGCCCCCCAAAAATATGTTGCTGCCCCCCTACAAATTGCTGCCCTCCTTAATTTTTTCCCCCTCGAAAATGTGTTGCCCCCCCCAAAAAATATGTTGCCACCCCCCCTTAAATTCTTTTGCCCTCTCATTAAAAATGTATTGCCCCCCCCAAAAAATATATTGCTGCCCCCTAAAAAATTGTTGCCCCCCTTAAAAATTTTGCCCCCTCATTAAAAATGTGTTGCCCCCCCAAAAATATGTTGCTAACCCCCTAAAATGTGTTTTGCCACCCCAAAAAATTTTATTGCCACCCCCCTTAAAATTTTTTGCCCCCTCATTAAAAATGTGTTGCCCCCCCAAAAATATGTTGCTAACCCCCTAAAATGTGTTTTGCCACCCCAAAAAATTTTATTGCCACCCCCCTTAAAATTTTTTGCCCCCTCATTAAAAATGTATTGCCCCCCCAAAAATATGTTGCTAACCCCCTAAAATGTGTTTTGCCACCCCAAAAAATTTTATTGCCACCCCCCTTAAAATTTTTTGCCCCCTCATTAAAAATGTATTGCCCCCCCAAAAATATGTTGCTAACCCCCTAAAATGTGTTTTGCCACCCCAAAAAATTTTATTGCCACCCCCCTTAAAATTTTTTGCCCCCTCATTAAAAATGTATTGCCCCCCCAAAAATATGTTGCTAACCCCCTAAAATGTGTTTTGCCACCCCAAAAAATTTTATTGCCACCCCCCTTAAAATTTTTTGCCCCCTCATTAAAAATGTAT